TTACACATTGTTTGGATACATTTATTTTCTTACTTTACAGATTACTGTTTTGATAAATTTATGTGCTTAGATGTGTTTAGTACAGTATATGCTCTTCTTGTTTTATCTGGTTCATTTTGTGTTTAAATGCTAAAAAAACATATTTAGGTGTAATTTTATGGGGCCGGGAACCAATTAATTGGTTTTCCATTAATTCTTATGGGGAAAATTCGATCAGAACTCAAACTTTTTAGGATTCGATCCAGGGTTCTGAACGGATTAAATTCGAGTTCTGAGGTACCACTGTATAAGCTTAGGTTTTCCAAAACATTCAAATCTATCTGCATTTTTAGAATTTTTATCCTAGACAACTTATTAATAATGTGATCAATCTCTCAGAAAAGATACAAAATTATTTAGTTAAATATGTTAATGGTGGAGCCTTGATGCACAAATACAACACGCAGGAGGAAAGAATGTCCACTTACTGCCCATAGGGGTACCAACGATGCTTTGTTGTGAAGAACATTTTACTGAGCTCCTCAATGGTGGGACCCGCCTTGTTCTGTGGGACTTCCATACTCAAATGAGCCTTCAGAACCTGGTCATGTGTTTCCGCTGGGTTTGACAGGGGGTCAGGTCGTGGAATGGGCTGCAGTGTAGATTAACAAATAGCTTATCAAAAGATCTAATTTTTCACATTTAAGAACTAGCGTTATGTTACAATCCTTGAGCTGTAATATATTTCACAAAAATACTGTCCATTCTCACCTGGGACAGCTCGTATGGGAATTCAACAGCTGGGTGGTAACAGACTATAGTTTTACCATCTGGCGTCAATCCTATTTCAACTTTGCTGTAAAAAAGAATTGGGAAAACAGTTTTTAGACAATATTACATCATCAAACTGCAGAAGAGGGCACTGCAAGTTAGATACCGAACTCCAGCTTTCCAATCAAAAGCATTTACCCTCTCTAAAGCACTCTAAGGTACCCGTAAATGCACAGGTTTGGATATATTCGTAAGTCAAATTAAACCTATTTAACCTAACATTATTAGAATGACATATAAAAGTTTTGAATGCTGAAAGTTAAAAAGCTTCAGATACAACTCTAAATTCTAAAAAACATTGTAAAGAAAAAAAAAAGTATTTTCAAAGGTAGCAATCCTGATTTAATTAGACGTTAACTCTCTTGTGCTATGGTACGAACTAATCTGTGGTTTTCTCAGAGATGATTCTTTTCTTCTCCACTGCACGACTCGGGATATTTACCAGTTCGCATCCTCATATGAGGACCCAGTGGTGGTGGACATGGGACGAGCTGAAGCCAAACTTCCAACTGGGGGAGACAGTTATTGAACGGCAGCGATTTTAATGTTTACGGAGACATGTACTATGCATTTCATCAGACATATTCGGCCAGACATTCAAGCAATTGCTCTGAAGGAAATTCCAATAACATTTTTATAAAACCGAGCGTCTTTCTGCGCTTCAGCATCGGTCAGCTTGCTAATCAACAACGTTACTAGATATCTTAAATATCCAACCAACTATAGGAAAACAGCTGGCGTGAATATATACTTTTAACAGCATTTTAAAACGAAGAGTTACATATAATATCATCCTGTCACATATCATGCAAATGAAACAGTCCTAGCCTCCTACTGATCGCTGGATATTTCTCATTGCGTTCATTACCCGTTTTATTTACGGTTATGCAGCGAGCAAAGCCTATTTAGCAGACATACCCGTTAAATGTGTCCGTTTGGTCACATTTAAAAGCTTTGTGACGAGACCTGCCAGTCTGATTCCCTGACCTCCGGCCATGCTGTTCCCCCAGCTGCGTCAGGCGGAAACGTGCAGCAGCGAAAAAGGTCCGTGTGAAACACGGCGATCCGCAAGGTGACCGCTCGGGGAAAACCGTGACGGACGGTGGTCACGATGGAGCTTAGATAGGCTGCAAATACCGGTTTAAACAATTTAACTGTGACGCCTTACTGTTTGATAACACAAGTATTAGGTTTCTTCATCCAATCACGTGTTCCTGATCACCTACTGGATTGGGGAACTGGACTACCAAAAAAATTAAAATAAGACCAAGAAAGAAGCCTGATACTCTACCTGCATTCATCCACACCTCTGGGGGGGGCACCCAACATGAGTAGCCATGAGAGCTTAGTCTGCTTGTCTGGTTTAATTTTTCAACAGCAGTTTACCATGTCTAAGTACATTTTTAGTGATCCTGTTTATTTAACATGGCCCTGTATCAGTCCTTGGAATTAGGGGACATGAAAATACACACAAACGGAGGGAAAAAAAACTTATTTAATTGACTTGTCTTCTTCATCCATATTACAATTGAAAAGATGCAACAGGATCATCTATTTGATAAAATAGATAAAGTAAGATGGATATTAGAACCCATTTCCTCCTGAAAGGTGGCAGCTTTGTCTTTTTGTTGACACCAAGCACGTTTCACATCTTCAGAATGGCGCTGTGTGTCTGGGATGGGGGTTGGTGGGGGGGGGGGGGGCACTAGGTGAGATCCATGCTCGACGTGTTGCTGGGCTCTCCTGCAGTCTCCGCCTCCGTCTTCACCACCAGCCGCTCCCGACTACCAAAGGTCTCAGCCACTGTGGAGACCGGGGGGAGGGGGGCAGGGTTTCCACTGGTTGGCCACGTATAAAGAACTCCCCCTCCCTTTAAGAGTACACAGGAACGCCCCCTCGCTCCTACCTGCGGTGGCATCACTGATGTCCCACACACGGAGGCCTTCCTTCTGTCCCCCAAAAGCGTAGACAAAGGGCAGATCGGGGGAGCAGCACGCACAGAACATGACCCCCTGTGCAAACAGAACCAGAATATGACTCCTCACACATGTGCTGACCCCACGACCACATACACTGCTGTAGCTCATCTTAAAGCAAAGAAAGGGATTCATGCAATGGCTGATGGGGGAGTTTGAAGCCAGTTTAGACAGTACCAGTGTTTACCAACACTTAAACCAAGCATCGGCTTGGTTCAGGGCCCCCCTGCTGTCAAAAATCAGTAACTACACTTCAGTAAACGCATTCCTAATTTAGGTGATGTTGAAGCTGCAAATTCTGCTAACCAGCTAACTAGTTATGATTTCCTTACTCTACGCATGAGCTATTTATTTAGTATTATTTAGGGGGGGTTAAAATGACTTTTTGAGTGGGGCCACAGAAACAAAACACCAATTTATAAGCCCACTAACACCACGGCCTCTGCAGGTTAGTTGTACTTCTCTTGGCTCCGTGATGTACAGGCCAGAGCTCATCAATCTCTGTCAGGCCTACGTACCATCTTCATGTCCCGTGTGTGGATCAGGGAGGGTTTGTTTCCCAGGATGTCCCAGATTTTCACGTGCCTGTCAGCTGAGGAGGTGACCAAGCAGCCCCTCACCTGGCTGCTCAGCTCGAGGCCTGCAGGGGGCGATCAGCATCATCACCTGAATATTTTTATGTATTTATTGAATTTATTGAGCAAGGACAGCACAAAGGACAATGTTACATGTGAAAACAATGCAACCGCTGTTTTGTACGAAGGTTTTCTAGCCAAAGGCTAATTTGCAAACCTAGTGCTTGGTTGGACTTTTAAGAACAGACAATAACAGCAATTATCAAAGTCACACACACACACATACATACACACACACTCAAGAAATTAGTATAAATTAAGTAATATAACTAATATAAAACATCAGTGTTCACAGATTTGTTTTTGTTTCAGCCATTTTTTCACCTAGGAGTTAAAGACCCTAACATTTGTTACATTTTATTGCTGATGGTAAATTATTCTAAATCTGAGGTCCTCTGAGAACGAGGATTGACCAAATGATGTTTTGTATTTTGCTGGTTTACAGTCTCCATTTTGTTGCAGCTCCTGTGCTGCTGGCTTTTACAATCATTCTGCTCACCAACTCTGGGACAAGGCCATAGAGGCATTTAAATGTCAGTTTTATAAAAAAGAAGTTTATAAAATTGTCAAAACTTAGGAGATTGTACTTCTCCTGTGTTTTACAGTGGTGCCACTTCATCGGTTTTTGGTCCAAGACTTTTAGGGCTTGTTTCTACAGACACATCACAGGTTTTAAAGTAGATTGAGTTGTTTGGCTCCAAACAATTACACAGTATGAGAGATGAGACAGAATCATGGCATGCAGGTACAACTGGGCAGCTTTTACAGATAGATATGGTCTAATCAGACGGAAACAGTTAAGGTTGGTCTTAATGGTTCTGGACACTTTCCTGATGTGAGACTCAAATTTAAGATGAGAATCCAAAACACCACCCTGATATTTAAACTCATCCACTTTCTCAATTTCTCTGTGGTCAATGACAACGATAAAATTATTACAGATTTTACGTCTGATTGTAAAACACATGGATACGGTTTTGCTGTGGTTCAGAGTCAAAAACATTATTCTTAAACCACCGAGATACTCCCACCATCTGTGTGTTCAGCAACTCTGCAGCCTGTTTGGGAGTTTTTGCAGTAACATAAATGACGGCATCATCTGCGTACATTTGGCACTGAACACCTTTACAACTGTCGGGTAAGTCATTAATGTATAAACAAAACAGCAATGGTCCTAAGCTGGAACCTTGTGGAACTCCCATCGTGCAGTTTTGAAAGCTTGATTTAATTCCATTAACTTTGACAGACTGTTCTGTGTTTTAAATATGACCTGAACCAGTTAATAGCTGTCTGGGAGAAATTTAATGTATTGAGTTTATGTAAGAGCATCTCATGATTCACTGTGTCAAAGGCTTTTTTTAGATCTAAAAAAAACTGCTCCAACTACATTACCAACATCTAAAGATCTTTTAATATTTTCGGTAAGGTAAGAGGTAGCCAGTTCTGTTGAATATCCTGTGCGAAACCCAAACTGTTCTGGGCAAAGGAGCTGATTTTTATCCAAAAAGCTAAATAGTTGCTCCGCTACTGATTTTTCAATAACTTTGGATATGGCTGGTAAGATAGTGACATGCTGACGCACATCATATAAGTAGGCCAAGAGACGAAGGGTGAAGTCAGCCCAGACACGGCAGCCAAAAGCACTCGGCTGCAGACTGCCGGCCCCTGTAAGGTGACCCCTCCCATGCCCTCACCTGACACCTCTCCGTCATGAGCTCGGAGAGTGAAAACCGGCTTGTCGGCCCGTGCGTCCAGGCAGTAGACAAAGCCATCCTCCGTGCTCGCCTGCAACACACGTCCACAGAAACCACTGTCAGTCGCTGGTCACACGAGCCACGGGGGGGCGGGGCGGGGGGTGGAGCTTAATGAGCATTACCAAGAAGTTGCAGGGTGAGAAGTGATTCCACACGACCCTCTCCACCTGGCCGCTGAACCTCCAGGTACGGTGGTTTTCCTGTGGGCTTCGGCAGTCGTACAAGACGACCGACCTGCAGCAGAACCAGGATAGGGCTTCATGCCTGAACCTCATGAACGCATTCCAAGATGGCTGGCTCCAACAATAAAATGAGTTCATCTGTTTGGTCAGAGATCACAGAGGAACGTCTGGATTTTAATAGAACCTGCATGCCACCCACAGCAGGAATTGATTCCATTCATCCTCCTCTATGGGTATGTGATTCAGAAAGGCCACACTGGTGTTTACTTAATATTTTACAGATAAATGGAAAGTGAATGTGCTTTAAGGCAAAGGCAGAGACTCCAACTCACTTATCATATGATCCAGAAATTAGCGTCTGTGCCTCAAATGGGTGGAATTTCAGAGTCTGAACCTATTAGGAAAAATGTGTGGTGAGTGCCTCCCTGTGGACATTACGTGCAAGTAGCTTAAAAATTCCAACAGAAACCTACATCGGTCACCATCCATTCAGCTTAAATTAAATTCAGCATATTGTATACATTCAGTTTAATTGTCATAAAATACTAAATAATACCCCCAAAATTAAAGTGCTGTACTTATTGTAATAATGTTACATATTTTAAATGACACTATGAAAATGTGCTTTACTCCCAAAAGCTACTTGCAATCTGTGTGTCAGCATTACTGTTAGTGAGCTTAGCACACCTTGTCTTTGTGCCGAGTTAACGTGGAGGCCGGTTTGCCTTCTACCATGTCCCACAGGATCACGGTATTGTCTGCAGAGCCACTGGCCAGAACGTTCCTGTAGGGGGCAGCAGCCAGCATCAGCGGGGCAGCCCTTTCTCTCACACGCAAAAAAAAAACTTGCCATCAAAAACCAGGACCTACCGGATGAGCCTGTTCCAGGACAGGTCTAGAACTGCATCAGTATGACCATCCACTGGTTCAGCTGCAGCAGCCTACAAGGCAAAAATCCCATAATGCACTGCTGCCAAAACCACTGCTCTCACAAAGGGTATACAACATAGCTCCTAACAATACAAACTCATTCTTATCCTGGAAAAAAAACTACAGAAATCCATTTAAAAGTAAAACACCACTGCCACCAGCCTGGCAAGCAGAGAAGAAGCGTGTTGTGTCATTGGTTAAGTGTTGAAGCAGGACCTTCTTGGTTTTCTTCTTCCTCTTGGCATGTTTCTTACTCCCCAGGGAGAAGACGGGTTCGAGGCAGTCCACCACGTCCAGGTCCCAGATGTCAATGATGGGCGTCATGGTACCAATAGCCACGTAATTCCCTGACGGTTCATTACATCATGTTAATGATGAACAGGATGCACCATAACTGTATTATAATGCATTATCACCAAACAGCTTGTTTCATAACAAAAATTCTCACAAAATAACTTAAAAAAAATGTCATTAATAGAATACAGATACTTTACTGATCCCCATGGGAAAATTGGCTTTTTATCTACCCCGTCTTGCTCTCCATGAGATAATCAGACACACACATGGGTGAGAGCAAGCTTAGGGTCACAGCACAGGGTCAGACCGCATGCAGCACCACTGGAGCAGGGGGTTAAGGGCCTTGTTCAGGGGCCCAACAGTGGCACCATCCTGCCAGCTCTGTGGTTTGAACTGACAACAGGCATCAAGCCAATGAGCTGCACACCTCCCCCAGGGTGAAGATGCTTGGTGAAAGTTTGCCTCCTGAGCCCTCATTTACATTTTAATGGGACCACCGAACGGCTCGGCTAAAACGCTGCTCATTTAGCCAAGCAGCTAAAGCGCTAAGCATCTACATTCTTAGTTAAAGGGCTGCCTCCCATTGAGGACTCACCGGTCCTTTCCTCGGGACTGGGGTCAAAGTTCAGCCACTCGACACAAAGCGGGTACGCAGGCAGCAGGATGTCATGGTGGACGTACAGGGACTGCTCTTCGGCGTTATATACTGTGACAGAGTGACATCAGAAATCTTACCCAGACATGCAATCGATATTCAAGCCAAATTTAATCTAACATTTTAACATCCACCAACTTGTTTTTATTTGTGTGTGGTCTCTTCTGTAAAAATAAATTGATATTTGGGTTCTATTTAATAGGCAACAGCTCTGGTTAATCTGTACAGTACAGTCCAAGCAAGCAGTCAGTTGTTGTGGTTCTGAGAGCACTGACTGAAAAGTGGTCTCATACCAGCTTTTATTCTATCAGCTGACTGACAGACTCTCACCATAGATTTCCAGGTTACAGTAGTCTTTCTCTGCCCTGCCTGCAACAATTAGATTGTCACTAGGCTTTATATGAAAATCTTCCCTTTCATATTGGTCCTGCAGAGGGAAAAGTAAAGGTCATCTGGCACCCAGGAAATCCTGTCTACAAGGCACTTCTGTACACAAGAAACCAAAACATCAAAACATCTACTGCGACATGACTAGTGTTCAAAATCGATTAAGAAAAAGTCCTTAAAGAATTCATGGATAACTGCTGTGCTCACCGTGTCTTTGATGGTGATGTAGGGATCTTCCTCATTCGTGCCAAACACTGTGAGACCAGCCAAGCTGTCACCAAGATTTGCTGTGGCTAATGAGCAACAAGATAAATTATAAACAAATAAACAATAAACATTCAAATCAATAAATAAAATTCAAACACAGGTCTGAACAAGGAAGAATCAAATTAAGCTACAGTAAGGAACGACATAATCCATATAGCTTATCTTCCATACAGCTATTTGGAAACGTAGCAGTAAGTAAATGCTAACTACTGCCTGAATTTACGAAATTTCACAGGGACATACTTATGTCCCTAGTTAGAAGAAAGTAAGAGCAACTTCATAACTAATACTGAACCTATGTCCTCTTCATCATATCTGTCCAGGCCGTACTCTGCCAGCTCATCATCATCCTCTTGCCCCGCTGGGTTTTCGTTGGTTTCTGTCAGGTGCACCTGAGCCTCAGTGACGTCACCCTGCTCCTGCCTGCTGGCTATCCCCTCATCCTCCTCGGCCTCTTCAGCATCTTCATCCTGCTCTCTAAGTACACACACATCGTCATGATGTTCACCATCGACTGTGGAAGCTTTCAGAAAGTGCAGATGAGCAGTTATAAACTACAGGCAGCTGGACTATGCACCCATGCCTATTACTACCTTCATAACTGCTCATTGCGGTATAAATACGTAATGACACGCTTACTGTAGCTGGTCTTTAGCTTCAGATATAATGCGCTGCAACTCCTCTTTACTCAGCTCCACCTGTAATATAAACATGACTACGTGACACTCATGAACGCAGCTTATAACTGAAGAACAAGATTTTATGGCTCATCAACCAGCAACACATGAAAACACACAATTTTTGATATTTTGAAACAAGCAAAACAAGCTACTACTGTCAAGTGACTTTAGTCCACACCGTTGAATGATTTGATTAGGTCTTCATACTGGACAGTAAATGAAAATTTAAAAAGTGAACTTAAACTTTCACAGTACTGCCTACCTTATCGGGTGTTTCTTTAGAAACTCCCCGCCTGACCCAACCCACACAAGTTATCTGACAACTCATATTTAAAAGCGACACTGTCGAACGAGAACAGCTTCATAAGAACGTCAAAGTTTCAAGAAAAACGCTAAAATCGCGGTAGGAAAGCTTAACTCGCTGAGTAGGTGCTGGTGGCACAGCTAAGTCTCATGTAAACAGCATGTGGCGTGTGGGTCCTTCGTTTGCGAATCACCATTTGATGACGCAGAGTAGGTGGCTAAACATCAGCCTAAGTGTGGTGTTTTAAACTTAAGGCAATAAATAAAACTGACCGCTGGTTTTTGTTAATCTGTCGACAGTTATATTAAAATGCATAAAAAATATTTTGATTATGAAAGTTTTATATTCTGAACCCAGGAAGCAAACTGGTGGTACTGATCCGTTTTTTCCATCGTATGTGTCATACGTTTCATTGAGCAATGTTTCATTTAGTTGTTTCCCTAACTACTGATACGTAACTTCTTCAATGCTAAGTCTAATTAACGTTTATAAATAATTAAAATTGATACCAGTAATACTACTCACAGGAATATGGTGCTTTTACACTTTTTGTTCAACAGTTTATGTCACCATCTGCCTATTCCATATCTGAATTATCCACAACAGCAGAAAATCCTATTAAACTAGTTTTTTTTTTCTGGCGCAAATCAGTGGTTTCCACAAGACCATCCATTTTTTATTCCGAAGATTTCTGACGCTGATGCCTTAGGCAGAACAATCTGTCTGCCAAAGACAACTTAAAAAAATGGCCAGGCCCACAATGTTTAAAACATTTAATATATTTTTTCACAAGGTTATACATAGTGAATACAAAACCACTACATTTCACAGTATCCATACAAACTCTAAGTAATACATATATTTTTGAAACAAATTTAATAATTTGTTGTATATGCATTTACAAGCTCCTGTACAAGTGGTTAATTCACAGAACATTAGCGTTGTGACTTACAGTGGTCATACGTTACACAGGCATGGTAGGAGTCATTTTAAAGTGGATTTTGATAGTGGCATAAAACACTTTTTTCCCCATTGATCTTGGGTAAGTAGTTAGCCGGCATGGGGTCATGTTGGATCTGGATCTAATTAGGCACAAGTAGTAGGGAGAACGTTGGATGGGGTGCTGGTCCATCACTGTCTATGTACACTGGAGAATTAGGGAGAGAGGGAAACCACCACCAAGAGGAAGAAGAACCAGAAACCCAGTGACAGAGGAAAACAACCAGTTATCTCCAGCTTCTGTTTGGGTGAACGGTATCTGAGATTCTTAGCAAAGTAAATGCTTGTTCATTTCACCAGGATGTTGAGAATTTTCAGGTTATCTGAAAAAAGAAAATGACTCACGCACAACCTGATTTTATGAAGAGGCATTTTGTTTGATAGGATCAAAGAATAGGGTGACATATATAATAGTTACAAAAGGTTTAAAAACATAGGTGAGTCAGTTTGGTCCAGCCTGGCTACAAAGTCATTGTAATGAAAGTATACACAATATATGAAGTGAGTATTAAATATACTTTACCAATATAGTAAATTAGGTCAATAATAGTGACATAAAACCTTCGGCACGCATGACAAATATGTATATATTTTTTTACATTATTTCATATGTGATTTTGTACTTCACACCGGACAATGTAGCACAGCAATGATCACTAACTTTTTAAAAAAGTAAAATAATGGCTTTTGGGTAACTCCCTTTGATTCTGCTGTCTGTCTTTTGTTTTGCTAGCTGGTTAAGTCAACCAACTGGTTCCAGTAGACAGCCCAGGTAAAAACATGCCCGTAAAGGGTGTACAACCATACAAGACAGAACATGATTCAGTAGGGCGGTGCCTCTTCTTCTCATACATACATTTTGCGACTTGCTCGTCATTAAACCATATTACCTGAAAGATTACGACTTCACCTACAGTAACGTTGCCTTTTCTTGAGGCTTCTTGGTAAAGCCATCCCACACAGCACACCCACTGAGTCTCTGTCTCATACACACAACACACACACAGGGCATGCAAATACTTTTCCCTCCCATGCAAACAGGGGTGGATTAACTTATCTGCGGCACCTAGGCTGACATCAGCATGGAAACTCAAGTGTTACTGACATAACTAACCCAGGAGTCTCAAACTGAATCCACCTGGCGGCTAGCGGCTAGCAACCACTTCTCGCAAACGGACCATTTGAGCTATTTTTTCAGTTGAAAGAGTATTAAAAACGTCAATATTTCGCTAATTGGTGAGTAGGGTACCCACAGTAAAGCTTACCGAGCTGTGGGATGCCAGATTGAATATGCTTAATCTATCTCATCTTCCTAAGGCGAGTGGGGGCCTGATGCTAAAGCCTAGGATAGCCCGTGCATTAATCTGCTCCTGTATGCAAACATTCCACATATAAATACAATCCCGCCAAACACACAGGTTACAAAAACCTCCCCAAACCCGCAAGACACCCCCTTCCATACATGTAAACAGCGAACCACGGAAACTCATGCGACTTGAATCTCCTCAGAAGGTTCACATGTCAAAGTCGAGGTCTAATTCCGAGCTCTGATCCATGTTCATAATGAGGTTGTCAGTGACTGGTTTCATGTGTCTGGACACCATGCTCAGGTTGACCTCGTGCAGGATCATCTGCCTCAGGTACCTCTCCCTCTTGATCTGCTCCTTCACTGCTTTTGGAACGTCTGGGATCACGTAGCCCAGGATGAACTTCGTCAGGTAGACGACATGCTGGAACAGAGCACCATAAGTACAGTGTAACAACTCACCCAGTCTGACTGAGCCACCTACTACTCAGCATATTTACACATATATACCAAACCACATTGTGATGATGGACCTTACATCTACTCATGGGCGTCAGAGGGGCATGGATACCCTGACAGATTCAGAGGGCCCAGTACTTTGGCCCTTGAATATGTAAAATTATAAAATTATATAATGTAAGGAGGACGGGGGACCCCAAGGTGACACTTTTTCAGGAGGCCCAGAATGTGTAGCTTCTCCGCTGCATCTACTGCATTAACCGGAATTCTTACCTCTACTGTTATAATGAAGCCCAGCTTGGCTGCTATCACGTGCCAGTAGAAAATGTTGTACTCGTATTGTCTTGGGTGTCCAGGTGGGTACCTAAAATCTCGATACCTGCGGCATGAAAAAAGCCACTGGTTATTGCACAGAACTTGCAACAGTACCGCCTGATCCTGGATCCGGTGTTATTTTAGCTGTATTCCAGTACTCATCCAGTGTAGGGTCTTGGAGAGCCTGAAGCCTATCTCAAGAAGTAGAGGGATGCCAGTCTATCACAGGGCACACACTCATGCACAGTGGGCTAGACATGTCAGTTCACCTAACAGCATATTTATGAGCTTCTGGAAGAATCCCATGGAAACACAAGGAGAATGTTTAAACCAAACACACAGATCCTGGGACAGGAAATTAAACCAACAATCCTAGAGGCAGGAAAAACAGTCTTGCCCACTGCATCACTGGTATATTGTACCAACTAGATTCAGGGTCAGATTGAATGTTACGATGCGCTACCAAAATAAGCCTTTCTGGTAAATATACAGATATACAGGGTACTTCTGCTAGCACCTGCATGTTGTGATGTTGTTATTAAACCAGTAGGGAAGCTCATTAGGTCGGCTTATGTTGGAGAAGTCGACGATGTTGAAGACGGAGAGGCTGCTGTTGATGTAACCCTCCATGGTGTTTCCCGTATGATTCCCGTACGGAAAGACTGAGAATGACCAGTAGTACACCAGTCGAGGAATCATGTCGGACGTGAAGGCGATTATCATGGCCTAGGAGCAGAGAGACGACGTGTAAGTAGAATGTTTTCATGAAGAACAAGATCAAAAGCTACAGCTGCTTCCTGTTTCGGTTTCATCAGGATGGGGGCTCTCCCCTTCCCCCACCTATTTGATTGGAGGGACTTTAGCTGTAATAAACATTATTCAGTCACTTTTCTATGATTGCTAGCAAAAGCAGGCTGGTAGTCAGGCTTGTATTTGGTAGCGTGACTCAGATGAATGCAGATCTTACGTACATTGGTCACCACTGCCAAGATGGTGATACCCTGCAGGATGGGTTGCCAGGTACCAATGCCTTGCGCTTTCTCGGGCACCATGCGCCGGAACTGTGTGATGAACTTCCAAGCGTCCACCCGGATCTCAAAAATGTTGTTCAGAAATGCCAGGAGAGGAGCCAGAGGAAAGGAGGCCACGAAGAGTGTCACGAAGCCAAACTGGATCACTGCAAATAGGAATCCATACTGTCACAAAGCATAACTGGATCACAGCAAACAAGAACCTACACTGTCAATGCCAAAATGTATCACTGCCAATAGGAGTCAACACTGCCATGAAGACAAACTGGATCACTGCAAACGTGAATCCATGCTGTTACAAAACCAGACTGGATCACTGAAATCAGAAGCCCGCACAGTCATACAGCCATACTGGATAACTGCAAACAGGAATCCACATGATACTACAAAAGCAGACATTTTTGGTACCAAATCGATACTAAAGCTCAGAAAACATAACAATACCAATTTTTCCCCAGTATCAGTGGTACAGAGTCAAAGATTGGTGCCTGTCACTGCACTAGATTCCAGGATGCAAAAAAAAAAAACACAAACACGATGCAAGTTTCATGTTGTTCTGTGCATAATTGCTGATTTTAAAATAATCTTCTTTAGCAGAACACTCCAGCTAGTTTGTGATTTAAGAATCTGAGCAGCCACTGTGTGTTGCAAATGCAAGTCTGACAAATTTGATGACACCAGAAGAAAAACAAAAATTTCAAAATGGTGGAGAGCTGTGATTCAGCAGCTGCACCACAATGAACATGTGTTGACAAGGAACACTCCAAAAGTTGCATTTGGAGTCAGTTTTTAAATTTGTCATTATAACTGTAGCCTCAAAAAGTCGATATTGTGACATCCCTGGTTGACAGGAGTCCAAACTATCATGAAGCCAAACTGGATCACTGCAAACAGGAGCCCACAGTGTCACAAAACCAAACTGGATCACTGCAAACAGGAATCCACTCTTTCACAAAGCCAGACTGGATCACTGCAAACAGAAGCCCATGCTGTCACACAGCCACACCGAATCACTGCACACAGGAGCACACATTGTCACAAAGCTGAACCACATCACTGCAAAAGGAGTCCACACTGCCATAAAGCCAAAATTGATCACTGCGATCTAGCCTCTTATCTCAGCCTTACCCATCTCCAGATATTCATAAAACAGGCCCAAAGTGCCCTGGGGCTGGAGTTGGTAGTCCTGCTCCCAGCGGGGAAGCACCGTTTCAGAGCGCACCTTCATGCAGAAGCGAGAAATCAGGTTTTTCACCCATCTAAGGAGGACAGGAAGGCCATCGTGAGGGCATGTGTGTTACATTGGTTTCCATGAAGCCCTTGACAATGGAGTTGGTCAATCATTGAGTCACCATTGTTCTAGTCCCTAGACATGTAGCTATTCTTCCATTCTGGTTGGCTGCTGTAGTGACAGCTTGTTCCTGGTCTGCCTGCGAGGTCATGTGATCGACGAGCTCACCAGGGAGGACACTTACGGCAGGAGCACCTCCTGTATTTGGTTCCAGATGGCTTTACCACCCATGATAATTGTTAGCTGAGTCGTCAGCTCAATCAAACAGCCTCCGGGGTCACACTTGGAACAAGGAGAGGGGAAGAGTGTCACTCTGCGCTTTGGAAAGAATAGTCACAATATAGCCGTGTGGCATGTGGTTTAGCGGCAAAAAGCTATTAAGCCTTATCTCAGGGGCATGGAAATAGATGAGATGAGCGCCTGTGGCGGGATTGTTTACCTCCTCGTTGCGATACTTGCCCAGCCAGTAGACAGGAGCCCCAGGATATCCTACTATTTTGCCCTTGAAGAAGGCAATGTAGAAGCATGAAGAGTAGTAGTTCACAAACTGGAAGAGGAACATCTTCAGGGTTAAGCTGTTCTCGTAGTCAGTCTTGGTTCTTGGCAACTCTTGGGATATTATTAGAGAGAGGAGAATGACAATGCGAAAATGTATTTCTTAATATCCGACATTAAAGACAATATTTTGATAATAAGTACACAGTGAAATTGCTGCTTAGGGAACTTAAGGAACACTGGCTCTGTGAATTCCCTTATTAAAGAATCAGTGTATCAGTATGAATTTCACCACTGGGAACCTCACCGAAATCTGTGATCCAAATGGCAACTTTCTCGTACAGGATGTTGAGGATCATGATGATCACAAAGCTGATGATAGAGGCTGTGACTGAGGTTGCCATCTGTGCGGTCAAATAGCCCTTAAACGGCTCCAGTTCCTTCAAGTCTATCTTCAGGTTGGCAGAGAAGGTAAAAAAGACCGCCAGCCGGTACACTATGATGGCGACCACGGAGGCAATTATCAGCATGATCTACAGAAGAGGAGACCTCGTTTACATTCACAAAGGCACATGCAAATAAAGACACAGAATGTAAAAGATCATCCCTTACCCAGAATAAAACCGTCCCAAATCCACAAGTCACTCGCATACACTTTCCGCATCTAGTGAAGGGCGCCTTCTCATTGGCCTAGAATGAAACATCACCACACCACAATTTTGTTTAACAGGTTCTGTATTTTACGCTGGAAAAAAATAGTAGCATGCATCTATATAATCAAGCATAACTGCAGATTAAATAATGCAGTATTTACAAGTTGTTTCTACCTTGGTGATGGGATTAGTCCGCTCATAGATGCACTTGGCCTCATACTCGGCCCGAGGTTGTTCCTCTTGCTCCAGGAACTCCACAGTATCCCACTCATACTCCAACCTGGCCTGGTACCGCTTCCAGAATTCCAGGAACAATGTGACTTAGGGGACAAAGCCAGGAGATGATGTGTCTCTCAGTTTAGTCAACAAAATACCTGTAGATCTGTTCTTGATCATTCAGTCAAAGGTTTGCATGCCACCATTGCTTCAAATGGACCATCAATGTAACATGCATAACCAGCACATAAGGCTTTGTGCGCTAATATCTGTCCAGACCCACTCACCCCAGACTGCCATAAAAATCGCAAACACCAGTGTCCCAAAATTGTCAAATATGCACAATTTCTGTGGGAAGAAAAAATGCCCCATTAAATGCAAATTCCATAGCTCAATATAATTTCTGAGAAAATACTTTTCTGTGTTTCTTAAACATTTAAGTATTGTTATATTGGTTTAAAGTATATTTTATTATTTTTCACTGTGGTAAACAAAGATCTTTTAATGCACTAAAGGCCGCATGACTGCATTGTCACCGAGAGCCTCATCTTCTGCTGTATGGAGGTCACCTTTGATGATTCGCAGGTGTTGTTAAGTTTCCAGTAGGTGCATTCTTTATCGCACTGTGGGCACATCACAATGTTTCCTCCAATCTCCGGGTCACACACCTCCTTGCTATGCAAAACACAACACTAAAATGATTACATAACTACCACTGCTGTCCAACACAACAAAAAATGCAGACCTGACATCAATATTCAATAAGGCATACGCACCCTACCTCCAGGTGCTGGTCTCCTGAGTGTGGTAGCCATAGATAAAGCAGCAAACCCCAACTACTGCGGCTATTGCCAGCATGTATGTGTAGAAGCCCAACCAGGCGAAGTAAATGCCAATCTTCTCTCCGTAGTACTTCCTGTACCAAATGAATCATAGTAATCATGTCATCTCCTGAATTATACTGCATTAAGCTCCAGGTAAAACGCACCTGTTATTTATGATTGAAGCTTAGGTGAGATCTGTCCAAACGGCATGTGAGACCTGCCTCGTAGAGGCATAAACATGAGCTCAACATTTCTATGCGACTCCTATAAGTGTTTGACAAACTACCAGATATCCATCTTATAACCAGTAATCCAGTATTGGGTTATGGGGGAGGAGGACTGACCTCAGAGGCAGCTTAAGGTACAAGGAAAGGGAAATACCCTGAACAACACGCCTGCTGGAGGACGCGTGTTATGGGGATGGCAATTTGCGTAACTGCATGTCTTTGGACTATGAGAGGAAACCAGCGGAAATCCATGCAACATGGAGCAGGTGTGAAGATCCTACACATGGACCAACCCTAGAGGTATGAAGAGAGACCACACG